TGACATGGATAAAGGGGGGTTTTCCGAATGGAGCTGCCTGGCTGCTTGTGGTTCTGTCATTTAAGTGGAGAACAAGTTGGCTTGGCCGATATTGTTAAATATTTTGGGCTTTGCACCTGATATTCTCCGGGTGACTGAAAAATGGGTCACATGTCCTTGTGATTTGTAGACATTCTCCACTCTAGCAGGCAGCAGCAACCTCCAGAGCCTAGACAGGACAGGACGCAAGGTGGGCACATGGCCAGAGACCGGGGGGCCAGCCCCCAGCCTCACACACTTCACTGTTCCTTCGTTTCTCTCACCTATCCTTCCATCCACGGTTCCAAAATACACTCATTGATGCCTACACTAAGCCATGACCCATGCCCGGTGCTGGGAATGCAGAGAGAAAGAGTTATTAAAGTGGAGCACGTGGAAACCAGAACAAAGACAGACAAGAGGGTGTGGTGGGAGGGACCTGAGTTTTGGAGTCAGCCCGACCTGAGTCTGCCTCCCAGCTCTACTACTTACCAGGAAGCCACCAGCAATCTAGGCTGCTATCTCCCATCTGCAAAATGGATAGTAATGGGCAGTGGTGGGGAATTACTGAGATCATAGATGAAGCAACGGAGAGATGAACCGAGCTCCGACCTTGGCGGAGGCCACTGGGCATGTGGGAGACATGGATGTAGCTGGACACCCTCACTTTCTGACCTCAGGAGAGCCCTTTGAAATCATTCACCTGGCCCTGGGACAGGCACGCGGTCCCCCGGCAGAAGGCGTGGACAGAAGGGAGCAGCCTGGCTCTTGGCCTGTGGCTGTGCCTCAGAAAGGGGGCTGCCCTCCTCTTCCCCGCTGGGCAGGGGAAAGAGAAAGAAGCTTGAGACACCCCCCCCCGCCCCCACCCGAGCCAGCTGCAATCTGAATTTGTTTTTCAGTAGGAAAGAAATTTAAAAAGGCCAAGGAGCTAAAAATCTCAAGTGAGCTCTGGGCTGTGCAGTCAGAGTTGCCCATCTCTGCTTCCCAGGCTGGGGCTCGGCTCGCCCACACCCCAAGCCCGGCGGGCACTGAGAGGACTCAGCGGGAGCCAGCCCCCAAGCTGCTCCAGGAGCACAGTGGAAAGGAGCACTGTCACGTCTGCCGGTTTTCATGTTTTTAAAAAAACCAAACCTCTATGACTCTGCAGTGACCCGAGTCTCATGACTGCACCCACTGGCCAAGGTGAAAAGCAGTGGGAGCGGGTGAGCAGCTGTACCCTCGTCCCCCCTCCTCCTCGCCCCCCCCCCCCAACACACACTGCTCCTGGCCTTTCACCCGCAGGCTCTCCTGGCCCTCCACTGCTGGCTGCTGCCTGGACCCTGCTCGGCACTCTGCCTCAGAGGCGGGGCCTCCAAGCCACCACCGGCTTCTGGCCACGGTATTTCTCCCTCAACTTATATATCAAAGGCCTTCAATGTATTTGGATCCCAATCAACACACGTCAGGGATTCTGCCTAAGGAAATAGTTCAGACCACGCATGAAGATTTATCTAAAGATGTTCACCACAGTGTGGTTTAAAATGGTGAAAGGTCACTGACAAATAAGGAGGACCAGCGCTGGGATCACGTGGTGGGCCTCGGCACTGATTTCAGATGTCGCGAACTTGATAAAAATCCCCGCGAGTGGGACCCGGGTTGAGAACCACTGCGGTCACCTGATGGGATCCATGCAGCCATTATAAATGATTAAGAACAGTTTTTATATGATGTGAATAAATGCTTACAACATACTAAAAGGCCAAACCAAATAACTGGGAACTGAATTGCTTTGCCAGTAATATCTGCACTGTCTAAAAGTAAAAAACCAAAAAAACCAAACCAAAATGAAACAAAAACCACCCCAAAACCCCTAGAACCTGAGTAGAAATTGCTAACGTGTGATCTTAACTCCAGATGATTGGATTATGAGTGTTTTTTCATTTCTAGTCCTCTGTCACAGTAAACGGTTTTTTACCAAGAGCAGGTGCTCTTTTTACAATCAGAGAAACAACAGAAAGACAAGTGGCCCCGGGAGTGGCCGTATCCTCTCAGCACCATGCTGCCTGCCACCCGAAGGCTCACCCAAGGCACCATCCCCACCCCACCCCACCTCCGTGTGGCCAGTGCCCCGACCTTTCACCCCTTCTTGGGCTCACATGTGCTTTGCAGTCATTATTTTAATGAATCCCCCAATCTTGTATGGAAAGTGCTGTTATCCCATTTTTTGGATGCGGAGAATTGGCTAGAATTAAATGCATGGTTTAAAAACCGTCTAGGTGACATGGTAATGATGCTTGGTGAGAAAACTTCTGGCCCCCTAGCTTCCCTCTTGGCCTTCCAGAAAAAAGCCATTCTGGTACAGATGAATGAGACTGAAAGCATGACAAATCTACCACGTTTTGGTGATTCTAAGACACAAATTTCTTCACACTGTAACACTTCTGAAACCAGGATGTGTCTTACAGTTGATGGCATCCTTCAATTATAATTGGCAGCATCCTTTTCCCTTAATGGTCCATAAAATAATGGTACGTCTTATGATTGAATAGCAGCTTAGGCTCAATGAAATGTACCATCTTTACAACCAAACCCATCATTCTATCCTTGAAATGCCACTTTTAATGGCCATATAATATTCTATCATTGCCCATGATGGGCATGTACTCTGTTCTGTGTTTTTACCATTATAAATACTGCTACTGGGAACACCTTTGCATTAAGCTTTCCCTTTTTCTACTATGGGCATCATCATCCTCTCTCAAGTCCAAAGTATGGGAGACACTTTGACATTTTTTGCCCCTAATCTTCATATTTTACCTATCACTATAGTCATCTAGTCATTTCTATTTCATGGTACCTTTTCCTGGTGTAACCAGTGGAAGGCTCTCTTCTGAGCTCCCCCTAACAGTCTCCTGGTCTCTGGGTTTCCAGCTTCCCTTTTCATCCATCACTGTATGACTTCAGTCACATTGTATCTCTGCTCAAAAACTCACACTCCCTACAGGGTGAAGTTCACACTGCTAGCCTGGCATCCAAAGCTGTGAAGTTTGGCTCCAGTCTTTCCTGCAGGCCCATCTTCCCACTCACATCCATGACTTCAGACTAAGTGGCCATGAGGGGTCCTGCCTCCAAGCCTCTGCTCACTCAGGGAACTCCACAGTCCTCGCAAGAAGGGACTCTTTCTTTCACCAAACCTCACCCATCAGGCCCAGGTCAGTTTCATTTTTCCTATGAGATGTTTGATGGCTCGTTTCATCCTATAAACATCTGGAGATGCAGAGTGACAGGCCTTCGTCTCCTCATTCCACAGGTGGAAAAACTGAGGGATTAAGTGGCTTGCTCAAGGTCATACAGCTCAGAAGTAGAAGGATGGGCTTTAAACTCCAGGGCGTCCATCCTTAAATCCAATGTCTTTCAGAGCCAAGTGCAAGTACAACCATAAACTTTTCTGAAGGAGCAACTTGTGCCCTAATCATATGCCCAGCAACATGTACCAAGAGTCAATAGCCTCTGGGTTCTAGACAAATACAGGACAACCACGAGCTCATCGTACGAGTGGAAATACTTCATGTCTATCAGCTCTCAGCAGCCCAAGGTCTGAGCCAGCTGTCCCATTCTTATTTTAGAGATGGGAAGACAACTATATTTTTCTTGAAATACCTCTCTCAAACACCACCGAACATGGCTGGTTTGGCTGGGCCCGAGCTCAGGACGAAGAATTTGGGCCACCTCACTTACAGGCAAGCAGGACAGGAGGAAATTCCTTTAATCCAAAGGGCTTTAGAGGACCTAAGGGAAGTGTTTCTTAGGAAGCAAAAAGAGTGCTCCCTTCTGTATGTGACCGTGACATTGCCTGAACCTGAGGCACCCCAGAAAGTCAGGCTTTCGTGCTGGATGGTAGACAAGGAAGCGCCCCCTGGCCACTTCACAGGGTATGGCCTGGCTGAAGGGAAAACAGGTGTCTGCTATTATTACTCTGTGTTTCACTTAGACAAATGATGGAATCATAGCAGAAAAAAACAAAACAAAACAAAAAACACCCATCCTTACCCTACAGGCAGTGTGACCTACGTGGTCCCTCACGCACAATCCACCTAGGCTGGGTGTGGCTGCCATCACCCACCCGCTCAGGAGGAAGAGAGTTCTGTGCTCCTGAGAGAAAGGGCCGACAGCAAGGTTCCTCTCCAGGGTTTTCTCTACAGGGCGACCCACGTCCCCGGGTCACCATTCTCCTTGACCAAGGGGCCAAGAGTAGGCTGAGCAGAGGGATGTCAGATGCAAACTTTTTATGGAAGCTCGTAGAGTTGGTACTTCCATAGGTTTTAGGGTTGACCTGATGTCTTCCTATCCTAACGGCGAGTCACCGCACAGGGCAGGCAGGGGACACGGATGAGGCAACGGGGGCTCAGAAAGGCTGAAGGGCCAAGGAGGTGGATCACGCTGTCTCCCAGTCCTCGGCGTGCTTTATAGTCACTTACACCAACATCACTTTGGAAGCCTCTAAGAAGTGAATCCCCAGGGTGATTTACTTTCTCAAGTGTGGAGAAAGCTCCCTGTACCGGAAAAGGGCAGGGAGGCACCATGGGGAATCATGGGCTTTGCCACCCTCGGGCCCCTCCAGGGCTTAGCAAGCCATGCCCATTCTGAGCCTTGGTTTCTGCATCAGTAAAATGGAGACGTATCGCTACCTCTGTCTTTCTGTGAATCCTCAGTGACGGCCGCCGTGTGTGAGGGGCTAGCACGGTGTTAACACACAGTCAGCGCTGCCATCCAGGGAGGGGTGGGTCCTAACATTCACAGGGGCAGTCAGTGCCTCACACATGGCAGCACTGCCTCCCTGCGCTAAGAGGCAGGCTGCAGGCAGGACACTGCCCCTGGGCCCCACCGCATGCATTCCAGGTGAGTTCAACAACCAGACCAAAAGCATGTTTCTCGTGGTCCCTGAGGTGCATTTCTCAGCCCTGACCAAACACGGGTTTGTAACATCCCGAGAAGCTACTCACCGGCTCAATTTTCAGAGCGTTGCGGTAGCTGCCGAAGAAGGCGGCCTGCGCCTTGAGGAAGGCTCTGGCCACACCGTCGCCAGTTGTGGTGGAGACCTTCTTCAGCCGGTTCTTCAGTGAAGAGATCTGGTGACCGAGAGAAAGGAGACACAGGCTGAGGACAGGGTCGGACGAGGAGGGCTGACTAAGAGCTCTAGAAAACCCCTGGCAGGGGGATCGATTTGATAGCTCAGCTGCTGGGAGAGCAAAAATGCACTCAGTATTAGGGCAGGTTTTTGAAATTTAAGTGAATGTTGCTTCTACTAGAGCATATGTAATAAAAAACAAAAACAAAACCACTTTCTAAGCAGTTACAATGTGCCAGGTAAGTGTTTCACATAACATTTCTAATTTAATCCTTTCAAAAATCCTGCACAGAAGAGATTAATGTTTCCATCTTGCAAGGGTGAAACAGTCTCAGACGGGTTATTACATGCCTAGGAACAAACCTAAAAAGTGGCCAAGTCGGGGTATGAATCAAAATCTTGAAATCTGACCCAAAACTACACAAAGATTTTTAATTCCAATTCCATTTCCTCTTCAAATTACTTACAAATAGTACAAAGAAATGACTCATTTATAATGCTTAATGTATATTATTACAAACAATTAATATTCACTATTATATACCACACACTTCATACTCTAAAGGAATAGTAGTTTATAGATAAGCACTCACAGGTTAAAAGAAAATAGACAAGAAAGCCATGGCAATGGGAAAAGAAGTGGCTGGGAATAGATTCAGTGTATCAAAATAAGCCATAAGGCCTTACACAGTGGCTAGAAATGAACTATAAACTTAAGAGCCTCCTAGTGGTCAAAGCAAAAAGGGGTTACATGAGTTGTGAGATTCCTTAGGTCCAAGCATTATAAACAAACCACCAGTTAGTTGCACAACTGAACACTGATTTTCCTGAAAGTGAGAATGGAATGAGATTTTTCCTGTGAGTCCTCAGTGTGGGGATGACGACGGCATGACAGCCGCTGCCCTCAACATCAGAGACATCGGCCTTCCTGGTGTTTCTAACCTGCCCCAGGTCATCCCAGGAGGCCACACTGCACAACTTCTGGGCACACCACTCACACCGTGTTCCATGTGAAAGGCACCCCTGGAGTTGGGTGACGTGCGTCCTTGCGTCCTTTACTTACTCAACAAATACTCATGATTTCCTGAGTGCCTGGGGCTATGTTAGGTGTTGCGGATACAACGGTGAACAAAACCAGACGCAGGCTCTGCCCTCATGAAGCTCACACTCTAGTGAGGAAAGTACCCATCCTGTGACGAGCCTGGGACAGGCTCACCCAGGTCAAGGAAGGGTTCCTGGAGGGAAACAGGCCTGGACTGGGATGTGAACGATGCACTGATGGAGTCACCTCAGCAAGTGGGGGAGGAACCGTGTACAAGCACGGGGAACAGCACTTGCAAAGGCCTGTGGAGAGGAGTTCAGGGGACAGAAAGGACTGTGGCTTCCATGGAGGCTGAGGGGGAAACGTGGCTTAAAACGAGGCGAGAGAGAAAAGGCAGGGTCAGAAGAGCTTGTGAGTACATTAAGGAATTTTTTCCTTCGTCTTGAGAGAAATATAAAGCTAATGGCTGTTTTTAAGCACGCAGATGACATACCTAGGGCACATTTCAGGTGTCAGTAAGGGGTGTAAAGGACTATCTAATGGCTTGACATTACTTAAGGATAAAATTGAGGATAAAATAGAAAATTAGATTCAGTTGGTCCATGAATCATCTACAAATCTTTAATATGAATGAGTGATGATCATATTTTAGGCTCCATAGCTTTCTTCAGAATCCTAAAGGTACCTGGGAGCCTAAATATTAAGAATCACTGATCTGGGAAGGATTACATATACTTTAGAAATGGCCCATGAACATTCTTTCTTATCGCTACATTTCTGATAAGGGATTTTTCAATAGCTTATTAAGATATGTTTTACACACCACAAAATCCATTATGTAAAGTGCATAATTCAGCGGTTTTTTAGTGACAAGGTTAGACAACTATCACTATTATCTAATTCCAGAATTTATCACCCAAAAAGAAAACATCTTATAGGTAGTCACTTCTCATTCCCCACCTCCTCCTCCATCCCCTCCTCCCTCAGCCCAATCCCAGGCAACCATTAATCCACTGTCTTTCTCTATGGATTTACCTATTCTGGAAAGTTCATATAAATGCAATCATACCATATGTGGTCTTTGGTGACTGGTTTCTTTCACCAAGCATCATGCTTATTAGAAATAAGGTTCATCCGTGTTGTAGCACTTAGCAATACTTCATTCTTTGTCCATTGTAGGGACATGCCACATTTTACTTATTTATTGGTCAGTTGATGGGAATCTGGGTGTTCCCACTTTTTGGCTATTATAGATAATGCTGCTATGAACACTCATGTATAAGCTAAAAGGATACATGGAACATAGTGCTTAGCACATAGTAGGGCATCCATAAGTGTTTATTGAGTCGAGGGGGGGAAATCCTGTGCTGTTGCTTCAAGGGCTGTGCCATATGCTTGGCTGGTCAACTGGGTGTGGGGTAGGACTGACAATCTTCTCTGATAAATCAGAAGTGACGGGAGCATGCATTAAGGGGGCTGCCACCACAGCTCTGCTTGGAGGCAAGCCAAGGAAAATAACTGTCCTCTGGAGTAGTTCGGGTGGGTGTAAATACTTGGTTTATTGTGACTGCCCCTGTTCTGAGACACACGAACCCCAGCACCACAGCGGTGGGCACCCGTGAGGAGCAAAGCAGGCCGCTTGGCACCCAGGCAGGCTCTGTCACGGGCTTTCAACTTGAAATAGCAACGTGAACATGACACATACTTTATTAAGATGTGAAAAATATTGCTCACTCTCCACTCCCCAAATACTGAAAACCCTATCCCTCCCGAGGATGAGGGTGACATTTCCACTCTTTGAAATGGCGCAAGCCACAGTCGGGCTTCTCTTGGCTCCTCAAAGACCTTGGGCCACCTGTGCCGCAGATTATTCCTCACTTAACCTTCCCTGGCCTTTCCCGATCATTCGGGAGGTGTTTAATTACCTTGGATTCGCAAGCTGCACTTCAGGTGAGCCTCTCCTAATGGCCTCATTACCATTTTACACAAAGAGGTGGTCACTGATGGTGACCGAGCGAAAGGAGTGTGTGCCTTCCTGCCTGCCCAGCTGGTCTGAAACCAGCCAAGTGGTCCCAGGCTCTTGGGGCCCCTGTGGCCACCGAGGCCAAGGCTTCTGAAGACCTCTCCTCACCCTGCAACATGGAGCTGCTTTGGTCAGCGCTTCAAACTTTGAAACGTCAAGTATATGCGCATCTGATAACTGGTGATAATATTTTGTCCTTTAAATAAAACTGAGGGAAGAAAATCTAAGGCTCAAGTAACCCACAGTCATACATCTAAAGCTGAACTTGCCCTAAGAGCTCCTGGGGGTGCTTGTCAGATCAGTAACATCAGGGTTCATCAGGCCCAGGCTGGGGGTGACGGAAATGCTGATGACGGTGGCTTCCTCCTTTATTAGGTATCAGAGGAGGGAGACAGAAAACAAAGGGAAGAGAGCCCAGAACTGAATTCATCGGCTTCGCTCTGAAGCAACCCTCCTTGTCCTCTGTTCTGTCTTGGTTACCGCAGTGTCAGCCAGTCTACTTGGCCAGTTCCAGGTGCTGGATTCCACACTTCTTCCCTTCCCATTACCCCCCCCCCACACACACACACACATCTTATTAATACCACCCCAGGGGCCGGCCGAGTGGCGCGTTGGTTAAGAGCTGGCTTGGGACGCCAGCTCTGTGCAGCAGGGCCCTGGTTCGGATCCCACATGGGGGCCAGTGACACTGCCCTCTACAGCTAAGATTGTGAACAACAGCTCGACCTGGAGCTGGGCTGCCGTGAGTTGCTGGCAACGGTGTAGGCTGCAGCCCCTGCTGCAGTGGGCTGCCGTGAGCTATGTGAGTGGCTGGCAGCCAGCGTGTGCAGCCGGCAGCCGGTGTGAGCTGCCAAGAGCCGCCGTGAGCGGCCATCCAGAGGCCGACGACTGATCTGCCTCACCCAGGAAGAGCGCAATAATACCAACATGGACCAGTGAAGCAACATCCTCCCCACAAGTAGACTGAAGAACAAAACGACAGCAACTTGTCTGTTTCCCTCCCCCAATTCCCCAATAAAATCTTAAAAAAAGAAAAAAAATACCACCCCAAATATGCTCTCTCCTCTCAGAGCCCATGACCCTTGCCCCGTGCGGTTCAGCTCCATCCATCCTCTGCCCAGGCTGCTGGAGCAGTTTCCTAGACGGGCTCTGTTTTCTGTTTCCCATCCATGCCGTCCACCCAGGGCTGTCTCAGTTAATCATCTTGGGAAAACACGAATGTCACCACTTCAACCCCTCCCTCAAAACCCTTCAATGTCCCCACCCTTGGCTACCTGCCCCTTCAGAAAAACATCCCAACTCCTCAGAGCAGCTGTGAGGGTTTCCTCAGTTGGCCTCATTTCGCCCTGGCCCCACTTAAAAGCTCTGCTTGACTGATACCAAATTGCTACGTAGAAGCATATATAACTCTCCAGCTCATACACATGCCGATGACACACATGGAGCTGTCCCTTCCTGTCCTGCTTGTGAACATCTCATCACCCTTTGAAAGACCATCCAAGTGTCTATCCATGGAGCTGATTAAATTATACCACATCCTGTCAATCCACAGAGAACGTGGCAGCGCTCTATGAACGGACACGAAAGGATGGCCACAAAATATTGCCAAATGGGGGGAAACACGCAAGCTGCAAAACAGTGTGTACAGTATGAATCACTGTATAAAATTATATACGTACACATATGTAGTATAAATCTAAAATGTCATGTATCAAGCTTTAACCAGGCAGAGATGCTTTCTGTTTTATGAACTTTTGATTGTTTTGATTATCCTTTATAAAAAAGCATATGTTACTTGCATAATAAAGAATTTAAATGAGGTATTTTTCTTTAATAGTCACATTAAACACCGCCCTGGGTTAAGGGAAAGAGGGACTCCAGATGTCCCCTCATCTGTGCAGCCTCTCCTAACCCCTAAGACGCCCTGCCTGGCCCC